TTTCTGGATCGGTCGATGTTTGCCCATATGAGGAAGTGGTCGGTCGAACCTATATCTCTCGCACTTCCGTGCAGCTCTGGAATCTGTGTGCTCACCCTATCTACCAGGATGTAGTCGAGGATCAAGTATTCATTGCAAACTGCCCGTTGCCTGGTGAACTCCGGCTTGTTGCATTCCCTCCTACCGTTCAACACCATCAGCTCGTTGCTTCCCAAAAATTCAAGCATCCTCACTCCGTTGTCATTCACTTTGTCTTCTCCGTGCTGCCCGATCGCCTGTCCTCTACTGGAAGCTTTCCCTACTCTGGAGTTGAAATCGCCCACCATGACAACTTCTCCCTTCTTACGGAACCTCGGACATGTTCCCCATTTTGCCCAAAGTTCTCCTGCGCCATGCTTGCGACTTTCTTCGACGACGGTGGGACGTAAACATTCCCTAGAAACAAATCTTGGGGAGGGGGTTAGAAGATGGTTACAAGCGACAGAAACAGAGCCCCCCAATAACCTCCCGCTTTGCATACAGGATACAGCAGCAGCAGCACCAGAGGAAGCTGGTGTTGCTTACTTGCGGACAAGACAACGACCGGGAGTTAAAAGTTTGTGTTGATGTGTTTAGGCCTCAGACCAATTCAAGGACGAACATGCGCCCTCCTCAAAAAGCACTACATTCTACAGGACGCCTGCCCGCCACGAAAGGTCAGGTCTATACCCACACAAGGAAGGATAATAACTGCTCAATAGTCTCCGCTGCGAGATTCGCACCCCCACCGCACAGCGTCCAAGTTTACCGTCGCACAATGCACCCATGACCCACCAGGAGGCCAAGAATACATGTTCCTGCGGCACACAAACACACACACACCGTTCAGCCGCTCTGATTGTTCGCTGGCGAGAAGCCTGGCTTGCTCGGGGTTGTTGCAAAAAAAGTATACGCTCACAAGAGAAGATACACACCCACCTCTCTCGGCGGCGCAGTGAAGCGGCGTCGAACCGTCATATCGGCACGGCGGCGCCGGCCGCGCGCCCGCCTCGAGGAGAAGCCGGGCGGTGGAACAGTTCCCTTCCGCAGCCGCGAGGTGCAGGGGGGTCCTCCCGTTCGGGTTGACGGCCTCGACATCGGCGCCGGCTTCCAGGAGCATGCGAATTATCGCGGGCGGGGCGTGGGTGCCGAGGTGGAGACACCGTTCACCCTCTCCCACGGAACTGCCGCTAAAATTCGGCCCCTTCATCTCGAGGTTGACGTCCGCGCCGGCCTCTATCAGCACCCGGGCGATCTCTTCGTACCCCGAGCTTACGGCGACCATGAGCGCGGACACGAACGGCTGGCCCGGACTACCGGGCAGAGGGTCGGGCCGGGCGCCACGCCGGAGGAGTAGCATCGCGCTCGGGACGGAGGAGCACAGGGCGGCGTGGACCATGGGTGTTCGGCCGGCGGAATCAGGCTGTTCGGGGTCCTCGCCCGCGTCGAGGAGGGCGTTTAGTTCCCTCAAGTATCCGTTCCGAGCAGCCCTGTGCAGCCTCGGGAGCTCCCGCTGCGGCGGCGTGGCCTGCATCTCAAAATCGCCGTCTGATCAGGTCCGAAGGGGGGGGGGGGGATATGTTTCGATGTCCATCAAGCCTGTGCAGAGCCACAGCCGTCATCATGAGGTTGTTTTATACGTAGTTTCTTTACTTCCATCGTACTACAATAGCTCCTGGCAGGCGAATGTTAAGTCCTCTCGGGTGTCAGTTTTAATTGAGTGCTTAATATGTGCATGTGTGAGCACGCCGGAGTACAGAGAAAAATAACAGGACGTACGTGAGCGTGAACGTATCTGACACCGCACTGCAGCAATCCGCCGCCGAAAAACGCGCCACCCGGGCCACGGTCAAGTGAACTGTGGCCACGGCAAACGCCGCAGTCTTTCGCTGAACGTCCCGGAGGCCCGTATGCGTAGTATACATGCGTACGGTAAAGATATCCAAACGTGTTCTGCTACTGCTGTAGACTGTTGACTCGGTTCTGCAGCAGTAGTCTACCGGTGACGGCCGTTTCGCCGACAGCTACATGCAGCACATTAAGGGCTGTTACAGGTCTTGGAAAGCGCAACTTTGTCAGACATTTCTAGCAAATATATGTACATAAATAGACAGAACGGCTACCAGTTCGAGATATAACCACAGTCGTACACATTTCTATTGAACGACAGACTGCCTATCTACATAAGTATCCTTAGGGAATCCAATCAACAACCACCACCAACGGCATCTACCCGCAGATTCTCACGGCTACGAGTGTCTTCTTGTGCCGTGCACTACATAGAGTCTAGTTTCTTGCAGCAACGACGCGCATTTCGGTCTGGCTCGCATCGGTCTAGTTCGCACCAGTCCCACGGCGTACCAGCACCGGGCAGCATAGGCTAAAGTAACAACACTGCTGAAGAGTCTGCTACACAAACATCACCTGCTGTGGAGGCGGTTGCCGTCGGAGTCGGTGCTGAGCCAGAGGAGTTGGAGATCTCTGGTGTCACCTGTAGCACACCGTTGTTTGGCGCAGCGAGAAAAATACGACCTGTAGCACGATATAAACTGATGCAGGTAGCTCTTTGCACTAGCCAACACACTCGTCTGGTGGTTGTGCCCACAGTACTCCTCGACTCCTTGAGAGAAGCTGACAGATGGATGTGCGGTACAATTTCAAACTGCTCGGGGGTGCTCGTCATTCTGCGATGCCCCATATCCCATATCCCCTATCCCCTGTCCGGGATCTCGCCTTCTTGCCACGTTCGAATCTCCTAAATCGTGGCGTTGCTTATGAAGACAGGTTTCTATCCGCTTCGAGGGAAGAGCTGAGCAGGAAAGAGAGAGAGAGAGAGATCGGAGAGCAACTACGTGGGAGAGCGACGCCCCTTGTCCCGACCCGGTATCGTCTGAGAAGCACGAGAAGCCCGTCCCCAAAGAAAGCCGGAGAAAAAAGCGCAACAATCTCAATCTCTCTCCTCTTTTCTGTGCTGTTCTCTCTGTCTCCGTGTTAGTGCGGCAGCTTCCCAGCCGACGGCGTAGAACACCACAACCGAGCAATGGGTGAGTGCCTCTCAGCAAAGCCGCGACCACGGCAGTGAAGACGTTGTAGGGTTTTCGCCTTTTCTGCGGTGTCTCCTCTCTCACGCTAAGTATTGTATGCTCTGGCTGGCTTGTGGCGCTTTATTATCACCCTGACGGTCGGTCGTGTAGGTAGCGTCCACGACTGCAGCAAGCAAAACGGGTACTGGGGCATCCGTCTGACACCCAACCAGCGAATCGTTGGGGGATGTACACACAGAGCGCTGCCCCCCACCGGCAAGGGTCAACGGAGCTGTGGCACGATGCCCACAGACGTTATCTTGTCTGCTGCCTGGCAGCCACGCCCCAAATCTCGACGTTGTACGTTGTCGCCAGTGTCGGCGATCTGCTGCCGCGCCTGGCTGTAAGGTTTTGTTTTTCGCCGGCCGACACTCTGCTGTGGAACACACACAGCAGCAGCAGTGATTTCCTCATCAATTACTGTAGACCAGCTGCTGTTTGCATGCACAGGAAGTTGCAGCAGTAGCTGTTTTTAGGATCGTTTTTCCCGCGGGCCGGCTTGGTGTTTGCACATGGCAGTCGCGTTTTTGTTGCGCCAGCCCATGATATTTGTGTTTTTTCGGAGTCGTTCGTCTCGGGGGAATAAGCCGGCATCTCCAGCTGCCACCCCCTCGCGCTGCTGCTGACCATACTTGAAGTATTCCGTTCGATTTTAAACTGATGCGCGTTTCCGGTCGGGGCACGACAACGCGTTCGTCCCTGCCAGTAACCTTGACATCATCATCCTCCCAAGCTATGATTCGTTGTTTCATTTAGGCTGTTGTTCGCTTAAATCAGGGGGAAGGATATAGAAGGAAAAGCCTTTTGTCTAGACATCGAAGCCCCCTCCCTCCCAGAACTCGTAAGCTGCGTTCAACGTTGCAGCAGCCTCCCGGCACCAAGAACGGCCCACAGCAGGTTCCCCTTAAACCGTAGAGTTAGCGCTGATAGCACAGGCGGGCAGGAGTGCCAAAGGGCGCCCTCTGCCCCGCTGGAAAAGACGACAGCGGTCAATAGCGAGGTGTTGACCAAAGGAGCAAGAGGCTTCGTATACCTACACAGCAGTTGAGCAGCAGGCCCGCGTGTGCTAGGTGGGTCGTTTAGACTACGTCGGATTGCAGCAATTTCATGTGTTGCGTAGATATTCGTCAGATAATGCAGCAGCAGCAGCAGTGGTTCGCATTGCTGTGGCAGACCCAAAGCAGTTGGTAGGCACGGCAGCAGCGGTTTGGTCCCCGGGACTCGTGAACGATGACAACAACGTCGCGTGTTGTTTCTGGGCCGGCGGGCGGGCGGGCGGGCGGGCGGGTGGCTCATTTGTGGGCACCATCTTATCTCTCTCGCACCTGCTATGTGTAACGTATGGAGGGCAGGAGCAAATGCAGCATGACATCACGTCACAAAAACCACCATGCGGCAGCACGCCTAGAGCCACACCTCCCACTCCGTATTAGACACAAATTATCACTAATATTGTCCGAGAAGGGTCCACGTGGATGCTACTGCTTCAGTAGAGGCGTCACGTCCTTACCGCCTGCTGCTGGAAGGATGGTTGGAAACCCCGTTGGCGTTCCTCTTCCCCGCTGCCGTGTGTGTAGCGGAAGGTCGTATGACGTACACTTACATGTCCGAACACTCGCACGACACACTCGTACGACACCACTCTCGTTCCATACAGTAATATGGGCCTTTGCAACCCTGTTCGCGGGGCATACACCCCACAAGGAGGCGTTTTCCCAGCTTTGGTGCCGTGTGTAGTCCATCCACGGCGGGTTCAATTCGTTCAATCTACCACACACACACGCCCCTTTGTTTCACGCCCTTCTGGGCTTTCCCGGAAGCGCCCCGACGAAGTGCTCGACCACGTTCTGCCCATGTAACTCTAACTGACCTGCCGTGCTCTCCTTTGGACTCTCTCGCACCCGCCTATCGCCGTCCCACAAGAGCTTTTCAGCCGCAATGGACGCGCATCGCTACTTGCGCGATGACGTTTGTTTGATTTTTCGTTTGCCGTCCCCTCTCGCCTTGCCGGCCGTCGTTCACTGTGAGTCAAGCGCTGAAGCGGATCAACAAGGAACTCCAGGATCTCGGGAAGGACCCCCCCGCGAACTGCTCGGCGGGGCCAGTCACGGATGATCTCTATCATTGGCAGGTGACCTTTTGATCCACATATCTAAGATGTGCTGACGGTCGAATCACGAGCCACACCACTCAGTCTTTTCAACAGCTGACGCTTGCGTTCGTTGGTGTCCATTGTAAGTAAACACTCGCAGCAGGGTTACAACTAGCGTTTGAGGCCTGTCGGCTAAGTCTGTTTGCTTTTTTCGTGGGCGCTCAGGCGCACGGACGACGGGCTAATGGCGGTGTTGTGATGTTTGAGAAGAGAGTGGACTGGCGCCGAAAAGGCATGCTTCCTTCTGACCGACCTGTGGACGCAATACTCGAGCCAAACGCGGTACACTGCCATCCATTGGCTCTGAATCTGAACACACGAAGGTTTTTCTAACGCTTTTAAGCGTTTTTGAGCAAGAACCGTTCTCAGCATCTCTTGCCACAACCCCAAGGTCCGATGCATCACACTTTGTATCCCCGATGACGCCTACACCTTGTGCTTCGAAGTCATCGGTGGATGTTGTTCGAATGTAGGTTTTGGAGACCATGTTGTGTTTCTTGAGGGATCCCAACTCGGGGTGGGACCTGTGCACGCGCGTATCGCGCAAGAAAAGCAGAACTCGTGACCAAATATCTCGCGCCCCCCGTCCCCGTCCCCGTCCCGTCCCGTTCGCACGCCTAGACGGTGGCAATGCTTTGCAGCAAGGACGATGTCGGCCGAAACCTCGTTCATTATCCGTCTGTGAAAACGTGGCATGGGGCTGGATGACCACCGCTATCGTGTCATGACACAAGGGCACAAGATCAATCCACGCACGTCCGAACCTGTGTTTTCTGTGGTGTGCGTTCATAGAGAGGGAGACAGCGAGAGAGAGCAGGCTAACGTCCGGGGACGAGTCCTCAACCCCTACACGCAAGACAAGAAACGGCTCCCCTCCCTTACACCACCTTTGTGTTCTTTGTTGTCTCCACTTACACGCGTGTATTGAGTGCAGGCGACCATCATGGGCCCGGACGACAGCCCCTACGCAGGCGGTGTCTTTTTCCTCAATATCCACTTCCCAGCTGACTACCCGTTTAAGGTGACGCTTGCTTGCTTGGGTGTCGTGGTACTTTCCTGGAAGACTTGGGTCGCCCATCAATTGAAGTGTGTTTTGGCGTTTTTTTTAAATCGGCGCGTTTTTTGCGCCGCCAGAGACTGTTGTTGCTGCTGCTGCTGCTGCTGCTGTTTCTGCGGTTGGTTTCTCTCCCCCCACGTGTGACCTTGTCTTCCGGATGTGTTCGGGGGGAGCTGAGAATCAAACAGATAGAAGAGCGGAAGAGAGACAGACAAAGGGACAAGACAGAGAGACAGCGAGAGAGGGAGAGAGAGAGAGCAGCGCGTGAGGGCGAATTTGCGCACAAAAAAATGCTCAATGCGTGCGAGCATGAAAGCCTCGCTCCTCTTCAAACACTCGGGTGTGTCTCCGGGTTGCTCTATTGCATCTTTGTCCAGTGCAAGCAATTCGGTGTGTGAAACCGTTGTGTTGGTGGAGGCTTGCCTGCACCGGTGATCAATGACGGCTGGCATGATCTGTACGGTCCGAGTACCCGTTTGGTTATCTGGTAGTTTCCCATATCGATTCGTGTCCTGTATCTTCCCCAACCCGAATAAAGCAAGTGGCGCTGGTGCGCTGCTACATTGTTGTTGTTGTTGTTGCTGTGGTTATTGTCTTCACATTTAAAACCGTTCCGATCTCTCTACGCGGTACCTTGTTATGTCCGTACTGATCCACCACTTGACGCGGTCGATTCCCGTGGTCACAGGCCAACCTACCCTATGCTTGTACTTATTCCACCTTCTTTCGGCTTCCACTGCGTGCGCCTCTCCCCGAGTTCCTACTCTCAACAACACTGTCTATTCTCCATGTTGTCGTTCGAAACACCGCCGTGCTCATTTGTTTTGCGCCCCACTCCCCTCCCCCCGCTGCTGTCTCTGTAGCCGCCCAAGGTGAACTTCACGACGAGGATCTACCATTGCAATATAAACAGTAACGGGGGAATCTGCTTAGACATCCTCAAAGACCAGTGGTCGCCAGCTCTCACAATCTCCAAGGTGCGATAGCTTTGTCACTCCCCCCCCCCGTTTTCAATTTTGGTGCATGGACTCGTGCGTTACTCCTCCCCGCCACATCTGCTCACGTTTCGGCTGTTTGTCTGCTCGACTGCTGTTATACTCTGGAGACTTTGGGAAGCTTTATTTAAATCACGGCCCCCTTCCTGACAGCAAGCGCGTTGTTCAGCGGAGGCGTTGTCAGACACAAGAGTACCCCGACCACGGCAGCTTGCTAGACCTAGACTGTCCGCGTCGCCCTCGGCATGAGCTGGGAACAAAAAGCAAATCTGGCTTTGTTGTTGACCTTGTTGCTGTCCATTGAAAGTGGTGTTGGCGGCGTCGTTTCAGAATTTGTTTTTACGGAGCTCTCGTCCTGTAGCGTCACATGGTTGACCTGCCTTGTCGAAAGTCTTTTTGTATGTCCCCTCCCCCCTGCCCATGTCCCTGCCTCGTCACTCGCGTGGCGCGCGTGTAGCGCGCCTTCGTTGCAGCCAGTTACCACATATGTATGTACAGACCACGCATGCATACCATGTCCGCGTCGTGTCGTGCCCCACTGTTTCCGGAGGTATCGGGACTATTGTGGTGATCACATGTGTATCCGAATGTCCCTCATATTTTCAAGTGGTAGGCCAGGCCATCTCTTGCTCTTGATCGTTGTGTTTCTTCTTGTTCCCCTTTGTGATGACGATTGTCCGTCCCCCTCTTGCCTGTTGTGTTTCGTTTTTTGTCCCGGTCCTCTCCTTTTATTCACCAGGTCCTGTTATCTATATGTTCGCTGCTGACCGACCCCAACCCGGATGATCCTCTCGTACCAGAGATCGCGCAGGTACTACCGCCTCCTTGCCGTCTTCACCTTCCCCCTTGGTGTTGCTCTTCTTTTGCGGTTGGCATGAAGTCGTCCTTGTTTTAAGTTTAATGAGCGGAGGCTTGTTGTTGCAGTTGGCATGAAATCGACCGTGCACGGTCGCACAGTCGTTTCAGTCATTTTTCCGAGTCTGAACCCCCAGGTCCCCCCTCCAGAATGAAAGCATCAAGTTGGGGAGGTGGGGCGACGGCTGGTACGGTAGAGCTACGCAAGCCTACCGGGCGAAGAGATGACGTATGACAGTGCCAAGAACTGTAGACACTTGTCGTTGTTGTTGCGTCCGAGAAGATAGCAGAGGGCTCGGATTGGCACCGCGGACATGTGTCGTTTCCGCTCGCTGCCGAAGTTGCCGTAGACTCCGCAAGTCACCACACCCCCATCTTGAAACGATGTTCCCCAGCTTGAGTTCTCCACGACGGAGAGGATGCCGAAATCGAAACATTCGTTTTCTGAGCTTTGGAGACGATGGAAGAATTTCCCAACCGCTCCTGTACTGTGTTGCTGCCAAGAGTAATCGAGCTTTGAAGTATGGGTCCAAGGGGTGTATTGTCTTGTGTATGCTAGCGGTATGGCGTGCCGGCCGATACTTTCTCCCTGACTTCACGTTGGAACCCCTTGACCCCCCCCTCCCCCCCCCCGCGGTGTTTACCATCGGGGTTGGGTTTTCGTCGCTTGGCAACGACGTTATAAATCAAGCCCCCCCATCGGTGTTTTCAATCAGGATTGGGTTTTCGTCGGCTTGGCAACGACGTTGTGAAACAAGTCAATTCACTTCGTGAGCTCGGCAACCAGGTTACCATTTTTTTTTCACCTGTTTTTTTTTGGCGGTAACCATAATGGTGGTCGAGTAGATCATGTTGTGCGGGGTGGAGAACCCGCACTCCGCGCAAGGGGGATGATCGCACCACGTTGTGTTGAAATGGTCAAGCACCCTCGAGGCAGTTACACAGTGCTTACAACTGTCTCTGGAAGTGAAAGCACCAGAAAATAAATTAAGTCATACGCAGCTGTCATCCGTACGCAAGGAAGTAAGCACAAGATGCCGAACACCCTTAGCAGGATGCAGCGCACCCTTCATGCGACTCGCCGAATATCTCACGGCGCTTCGCGCTTGGTGATGTGAGAGCCTGGTCCGGTGAGAACCCGGCGTGCTCCGTCCCGGCTTTGTGGGGATGCGAGGTCAATGGTCTAACGTCTACGGCATGCACGACAATGAGAACCCCCCCTCCCG